CTCATCCTTCTCCCCTTAAAAATTTATCCGTCTGTGATGACTTCCATCTTTTTGACTCCCATCACCTGGAAGGTAGCAAAGTAGAAGTTAAGTAGACTGTTGAAATAGGGCTTTGCAGTGTATTATTATCTAACTTTTGTTTATTTAACACATTGCCATGGTAATTTTATTATTGATAGCTACAGCGTAATAAAAATCCCCAGGCTAGTTTGGAGAACCAGTTGCTCAAAAGACTTCCTATTTTTTCATGTGGTGCTTTGCTTATTCACTAGGGCCTAGGCTTTAGCTCGCACAAATTGTTTTTGCTGCAGAATCAATAAGCTCTGAAATCTGTATGAGCTGAAGACCTGTCACCTATTCCTTCCAATTATATTTACATTTATATCAGAAAATATATGAGAGAGACTGTTACAAGAGAAAAAGGAAATATTTGGATATATTGTGCCAGGGAAAAGGGAAGGAATATGCACAAAAGTAAATGAGGGACTGGCTCTTGTCTTCAGTGTTGCACACATTAGTGTTGAGCTGGAACCACTGAGAAGCTTAAGATCTTGGGCCTTATCTTGGGCTCTGTCTGTACTCTAGAGGAGGCTGATGGACATGGTCTGGCCACTGCCGTATCTCTAAATCTCAGTGTCCAAAAAGGTGGCTTGTCCAAAGCTCTCTTGGGAGGTATTCATGGCCATTAGCTATAGGAGTTGTGTGGTTCAGAATCACAGAATCACAGAATATTCAAGGTTGGAAGGGACCTCTAGAGATCATCTAGTCCAACCTTGCTGTTCAAGCAGGACACCTAGAGCATGTGGTACAAGGCAGCATCCAGGCGGGTTTTGAAGACCTCCAGAGAAGGAGACTCCACAACCTCCCTGGGCAGCCTGTTCCACTGCTCTGTCACCTTCAGTGCTGGTTGTTCCAGGCCAGCCTGGCAATGAGTGTTCCTGTGCCTGCATCCATGTCCTGGTGCAGCTATTCATTGATAGGGACAYAGACAGTGGACTTGGTAGCTCTTAACTGGCTTCCTGGTTACCTGTGTCATACATGGGATGAGATGGGTGCTTCAAAATGAGACAGCCAACAGGCAACACTTTGCAGCTGCTAAGAAAACCATGTAAAAACCTTCTGTGAGAAGAATCCCTTCACAAGCTCTGGTCCCTCCAAGACTTAAACTTTGGGGTTTAACAAGACTTACAGCCGCATGGAGTTAACTCCTGGAGTTATGCCCTATATTTCCACGAGTAAAGAGAGGCAAGTCCCATTTGTTTTTTTGTTAAAGAAATGGGGCAGCAAGGCACAGTTTCATCATTCCTTGAATTTGATCCCTTATTCCCCCAGGGCTGGGCTAGCTGGAGCTGAGCCGGGTGAGCGGCTGTTCGAGGTGCTCTCACGCTGATCTTTTGAAGTCGCTCCGCTTTGCAGGAAATAATTAAATGCTTTCTGGCTACAGCGTGTTAAAAACACCGAGCACGCCGCTCTAATCCGTTGGCTTGGGCACTCACCTGGGAGATGATTAAGTAGGTGAGACTCTAAACACTATTAGGAAGGGGAGAAAAAAAAAAGAGCAGAAGCACAGAGGTGTCACTCAGATGTCTTTTTCCATTGCTCTTTATAGGAAGGTTCTTGCTGGTTTGAATCCCCATTGGAAGAGCTCGCTGCGGCTAATCCTCTGAGAGCGGCTATGTTTTCTAAGTGGGAAATGGATATAGGATAAACAGACAATCTGCCGTTGGCACGCAGCCCTCTCTGCCACGGTGTAATAAAGTCTTATCATCCGCGGCGAGATGTTCGTCTACGGCTAAGCTYGTTCAGGAGCTCAAGGAGGACTGAGCACCATAGCTGGAAATCCAATAACAGCACCTAAAAATAAAGGATGGCTGTTTGCCCATTTAATGGCAAATTAAATTCTATTTAGTGATTCAGTAGGATTTTTTAAAAAAAATAAAYGGGTCAAACTTTGAGYTTCTAAAAATATTCACACTTGTTCRAACTTCTCCGAACTACAAATGAAACATGCTTTTACTGTTTAATATTATAAACTAGCTAATTAAAAGCAATAGGTGAACCGAGGATACTGTGAAGCTCAGACTTGGTATAAATGGACTTTTAGTGAGAAAGGCTGAAAGAGGCACTAAGGTGAAGAGCTAAATCTCCCTAGAGAATGGAGCCCATCACCAGTCATTTTTAAACTGCTTCAGCTGTTCAACATTAGCCTGTTAAATGTCTCGTTAACACAGACAGGCAGCATTTTCAGGAGCACGTGGATTTATTGCTTCTCTTTGATTATTGCCCACAAATTTGAATCACAGAATTCCAGGTTTGTTGAGGTTGGAAGGGAACTCTAGGGATCACCCACTGCAGCCCCTGCTCCAGCAGGAACACCCAGAGCACGGGGCACCCGGGCGCATCCAAACCCAAACCCAACAATGCTTGTTCTGTCTTCCAGTTCTTGGTCCAGTTTCCRTTAAAGTTAAGGAGAAACAGGAATGCTCACCCCAAATGACCATGATTGGCAATAGTAGAAGCAGCCACAACATATTCTGAAAGCAAATCCACTAGATTATGGAAAGACTTTGAGGAAAACAAGAGATGAAGCTGCCTCCTTGCTTTTTCCTCTGAGGACAAATACTGATTTTTAAGCATGCATCAGTTCTAGCGATTCATCCACCATAAATATGAGGATTTTTTGTCTTGAGGTCAGGCTCTAGTTCCCAGAGAAGCACCATGATTTTCCTTATTCAAAGAGAAATTCTTTGAAATTCTGGATTATTCACAGCAAGGTTTAGTGTGGATTATTTTGCCAAGACGTCATTGCTGCTCCCATTGAGACGCAAGGTAATGCTGCTGTTGTTTTGARGTTCTTCAAGAAAACTCTCACTGAACTAAACTGAATCATCTTAGACATGCAGTTTGTTCCTGAGTGATAAGAACCTTTCATAAGGCTTATATCATCTTAATAAATAAATAAATAAAAGAGTTAGGAGCCCCTTCTGACTCTTTTTAGTTGCTCCTTCTTTAGGCCAAGCAGCAATACAATTTCAGACAGTGGTTTCAGCTAAAGCAAACCCCAGTGTCTTCCCTGGTAGCTCACATAACATCATGAAAACTGATGTGATTTCATCACTGAAGTGATGAATTCCTCCCCCAAATCAAGCTAGTCATTGGTTTATTGCAGAAAGGTGGTGTCGATTTATCATTGGGCCACCCACCTGTGGCCTGTATTTTTATTCTTATAAACATATAACCCCTTTCTGTTGACCTGTTGTCATGTTCTGCCTGCAGATAGCAAGAGGATTTGTTTGGGTTCGGTAGTGGTGGTCCATGTGAAAGTGAATTTGGGCCACCATTTGCCTGGACAGCATCTAGTGGACAGGACAATATGGTTCCATGTAACTTTTACCTTTTTGCCTTATAATCTTAGCATGTTTTTGTCATATTGGAGCACACTAGATAGACAGGAAACGATTTGGTTTTACCGGGATTTCCATGAGGGACTCATTACAGGGATCAGAGATGCACCCAGTTTTACTCCTCTACTTTCCAGACTAAATTGAATCCTCATCTTTGAAATCTTTCTAAACCTTATCTTTTAAATCTCTTTGCATAGCCACCCCACTCCTCTGTGGCTCATTTTGGTTTCCTTCATTTCAGGTGGAACACTGAAACACTGTCCTACCTCCTCCTGTTATATCCCTCCAACGTATACTAGCATCTTTTTTATGTGGAGGTGGTTGTTTCCTTTCTCTTGGTGTCAAATTGGTGTTTTCATTGAACTCTCCTCATTTACTTGTAGACTGCGCTCTTCCTTGTTTGGTGACMGCTCATTCAGAAACCATCAACAGACCAGATTCAGCTGTTGGTTGCACTGCGAGCAATCCCAGACAATTCTATGGAAATCAGTGCAGATGAACCCAAAATCTGGCCTGGTGTGATCAAGGAGCTCATTACATTTCTGTAACAAGGAAGAGCTGGCCATGCAGTTGACTTTTCCATAATATTTCCTTATGATTTAACTGAAGAGCATGATATACATGCATATATATGTGTGTGTGTGTGTGTGTATTTTCACTTATGTCAACAAAAAACATCTGCATTTCTAAATTCTTGATGTGTGCTATAGTAACACTTAGAACAACAGACTTCGATCCCAACTGAGATGTCTGAACGCTCATCAATCCATCAAATAATTACAATAAAAGAAAATTATGTGGCCTCATCTTTCATGTTCAGTGAAGTAACGTCTTTCAATACAATCAAAAGTATGAGGAATTAAAGGATAGTGCCTATCCTTTAAGGATAGTGCAATTAAAGGAAGCATGAGGAATTAAAGGACAGTGCCCATAAAGTAATGGAAATTAGAAATAATATATTTGAATGTGCTGTAACACATGCTTATCTTCCCTGAACTTTGTCTGCTCTCCCAATGTTCARTCCAGGTCTCTCTGATGCGCTTGGAAGCCCATTGGCATTCARGGGTTTGGGTAATGGGAAGTAGTTCAGAATCATTTGTTTAATCTTACGTAAACATGTCCTTGAAGTTTAATTTTTATCCTCAATTATTTTACACATTTCTTACCCAATGGCTAATGAAATTCAGTTTCCTAACATGAAGACAATTTAGCGCTATAATTCCTCATATTTTAATATTGTGCGTAAAATAGAATATGTTAAATTATTTTACTAGGTGTTAATTTTTAATTTACTAGATGTTAGTTTTTAAGTCCTATTCAATTTTTTTTTTTTCTAAAAGATGACAAATTACTCTCTTAGCTCATTGTCTCTCTGGCTAGTTTATCTCATGATGGCCTGGTCCAAGCTGGCAGATACAGGCATGCTTATAAAAGAATTTGTAAAAAGGCTTGAGCCCAAATGCTAGAATATCAGAATATTGTGCTTTTTTCCCCCAGAAATAAAAAAACAAAGGATTATGCTGTGGATCTCAAATGTAAAAAACTAGATATGCACGAGCTAATTCAATAATATCGGATTTTATTTTGTCTTTTAAGGTAAAACTGGCCACACCGAGGCTGTACGCGTAGTATATCAGCCAGAAAACATCAGCTTTGAGAAACTGCTCAAGRTCTTCTGGGAGAATCATGACCCGACACAAGGTAGAGTGATGAGTGAGCCAGTATTTAATTATCTTACTAATTACAGCTGGGATAATTAGTGTTTGAGCTGTGTGGAAGAGATGAACCTTGAAATCACACTGGAGCTCAAGAATATGATTGCAGACATTTATTGACAGAGCAAGAGAGGGAGAGAGAACGAGCCTAGAGAAGCCCACAATACCCCTCCTCCTTTACAGCTGTCTGGGCTGGGAAAATTCCCACAGAGAGACGCACCAGACAATAGGAATTTTTTTTTTCAACTTTGATTATGACAATTTTTTCCATAATGCTATCTTTTGTCTCCTAAATTAAAGCCTATTTCCGTACAGCTTTGGAGTTGGCCGTTTTAGTTGTGCTGAAGACCTTTATCCCCCTTAAATTAGGGAGGGCTGGTTTTTTTTTTTTTATGTTTTTAAATGACTGTGAATATCTTTTATGATTAGGAAAAAAGGAACAAAAAGAGATAAAAGATGGGATGTAAAGGCAGCAGCATATTAGCTATTTGCCGCATTCAAATCTTTTGATTTAATTTATCTTCCTTGGAAGAGCCTTCATGATGACATTATACACATCTGTGCAAGCATAAATGGGAAACTGTGTTGAGAAAACAGTTTACATGTTTATATGGTTTCAATAAACATCATCCCTTCTACCATTTCCCAGAAATACTGCACTCAGTAACTCATTTCAATTTTTTAACAGCTATCCCAATTATGCCACTTATCACTACATCTGGGAACCAAAAATGCAGATGATACCTACAGAATAGGATCCCATCTTGAGAAGTTGTAATTCTGAGAAGGATCATGGGGCTGCTGTGGAAAAGTGCCTTCCAGGGAGCCCACAGCACTGTATGAAAAGAGGAACGTCAGTCAGGGGTAGGGAAGCTATCTTCTGCAYGCAGAGTGAGTGAAATCCCCGTAAAACAGAGCATTGTTTGCAGYTTCAGTGTTGACATGTCAAGAATGATATAGAGATATTGCTGGGAATTCAAAGGAGGGATACAAAAGGGGCTAGAAAACTAACCTTGTGCTGTGAATAAACACATTGAGCCAATTGAGGAGAGATGACTCTATGATCAAGTCAACTTTACAGGTACTTACGTGAGGACAAGAGACCTCCTAGGGAGGTTGGCAAGGCTGCTGCTGGTAAGTCAGAACAATATCCAGTAGCTAGGAGCTGAGGTCACAGAAGTTCCATCTTGAAAGAAAACAGCTTTGCAGCTCTGAGTATGGTTAAATGTCAGGAATCACTTTCTATCATGAATTTTGAGTCTTTAGGATGAGATCATTTGCTCTTCACAAAGAAGTACTTGATTGAGTTCGTGAGAAGAAATTCCATGTTTGTGAGTCAGTTGTGACGACCTTTACTGGGATCAGTTGATCAGTTGATCTGAGCCTGTCTCATCTCCCCACTCCTCTCCAGTTGTGTGTTCAGAGCATCCTCGAGACACGTGCAGCTCCGTGTTGATACAGGTTCCAACTTCCGATGGTGCTTCACAGCCTCAGTGCTTTTGCTTGTAGGGGTCAGCAAGGAAGTTTCATGAGTTTTCATCTTCCAGAGTAATATGACCTCTACTTAAACAAAAATAAAGAAAGAAAAAAGAAATTCTGGGCATCTGACACGTGCTCTGCCATTTCTGAGGTCTTGGCTTTGACAAAGTATATTTAGTCCCTTCTGGTGACACACGTACAATAGGTCAATCTCTAAAGGACTTCAGTGATTGAAGCTGACTGAAGTATGCATGCTGGATACCATGGGATCTGGGTGAGCTATAACAGCTGTRATAAATAGGCCAGATAGATGATCTCATGATTCCTTCTAATCTTAAAAATGATGACTCTACAACTTTATATTCTCCTTGCATTCTCACATGACTGAGGTCCAAAATAGTTGCAGTCTGTGCTTTCAGAAGGAGGTTGGATGCTGGCAGATGTGTGATTCACTCCTTGATTTCTGGCAACTGGGGAAACATCACCTAATTAGCCCGGGCACGGAGCCACGCTAAATATGGCTGTATTCCTTCAGGGACATGAGCTGATATCTCAGCACGACGCTTTGCTGTGTAGATACCCAAGCCMTTCCCAGCCATCTCAGGCATCTGTGTGGCACTGCAGGCTTTGGGGTAAGCAGACCTAAACCTCTGCATAGGCTTGATATGGTAAAATTTCCAAATTCCATAATGATTTTTAAAAAAAAATTAAAAAAAAAAATTAAAAAAAGAGAGCATCATTTTATCTATACAGAAGATGCCAATTCTTGAGAACATTGTATACTCTAGAGTTGGCTGGTGTGGACTGGTTTCTTTACTTTTGCATTTCTGTGGTTTTGTAAGGCTAGTAAGAGTAAACTGTGCAAGACCTCTGCAAAATTCATCAGATTTCCACCACCTTTCTTGAAGTGAAGGAAAAGTAACCCTCAAGGCCCCAATTTCAGATGGTCTGCTTGAATACCCCTTTCCTGTTTGAACAATTGAACAATTTTGGACTAGATGATCTGTAGAGGTCCCTTCCAACCTTAAATATTCTGAAATTAGCAGCAGAAGTTCAGTTATACAGAAGTGTCTCTTCATCTTCACCTTCACCTACCCTTCGCTTTGAGTTTGCTCAGGGAATTATGGTTTTATGTAAAATTACAAAAAGTGAGAGTCATCTTGTTGACCTACACTATTTTTCTTCTTTCCTGAAGTTCCAATGTGTTCAAAGTCTTATTTAGCCAGACGCATGGGAATGCCCTGTAGAGACTGTCAAAGAAGAGATTTTTGCTAAGCAGTTAAATTAGGAAGATTTCTTGTTCATGAGGTTCTGCGCCCTCATTGGATGAATCCGGTGTCTTATGTAGACAGCAAATACTGCAGTGCTTGAACAGCGTGCTCGCTCAAGAGGAGAAAATCTTTATTTGGGGCTCTGTCTTATCTTTTCCCTGTGGAATTGCCTAATTCAGCTGCAAAGACAAAACAAGTTCTAAAGTCATTGAACATCAAGTATGGAAATATTTGTACGTTTTGTTTCTGCTTCTGTTGAAGGACTTTTCAGATGTTGATCTAGATGGAACCAACTTGCTCAAGAGCACGGGCTGGCACTGCTGTCATTCGTTATTGTAAAAGCATATTAATGTTCCAATGATCCCTGCATTCCAAACAATTGCACCTCCTGCCTTCAGGAGGAAACTGGCATCTCCCTGGGATCCRAAGTTTCTCTGGGAGACAGCCTGAATCTTGTTTATTGAAGTATTATACAGAAGGCAAGTGAAAAAGCAGCAACCTTTGATCAAGTGAAACAGTCTATGAGTTGAAAGAGATTCTCCCAGATGAGTGTCTCCTAAGTATGGGGCCCTGATAAAGTCATCCTTGCCTATTAATTTAGGCTCTATTTTATAATTCATTACATTGGGGAGACTAAAAAAGCAACAAACAACCCCCTGACTTCTGCCAAGTGGCATATGGTTGTCATCTTTGTTCAGCCTCTGATGCACGGATCAGCAGCCCTTCTCTCCTAGGAATAAGCTGATCTATAAGAAGGTTGTTCTGTATAGCTTGGGAAGTGCTTGAGGTGGTGGCTTCTTTGTGACTACTTCAGGAAAAAAAARAARAAAAAAAAMMAAAGAACGAWGGCAATATCCTACAAAARAAGCATTTCCTTGTTGAAATTCAGTGTTTGTGTCATTTTGTCTTGTTTGTGGAGGCACAGGACAGATCTGCATTGCCCTGTTTTGGCAGTAAAGGTGACATTCACAGAGCTACCAGGATTTTTAYAATATAAACCTGACTGTCTCCTTTAAATTGTGTCCTTATTGAACACTGTGGTTCTGCTGGCACCTCCACGCTGGGCGTCTAGGGGAATGTGGACTTTGAARCCATCAATCTGTCTGTGTTGTCCCTGAGGTTTCGCAGGCGTCGTAAGGTAATTTTAGACATAACTATAATAGAAAGGGCAATTTTATGTTGTCTGCCTGACTTATCTGTATGATATTGTCTCAGCCTTTATGTTAACATCATCAATTGCAAAGATCTCTGATCTTCTCAGATCAAGCTGAAGACTTGAAGTGCAATGACATGAAATCCAGTGCAGTTTTCAGCCATGAYTTTCATTGCCAGGAGCACTTTTGCTGGTGGGACCACCCTTCTACCCTTAGGCCTGCTCTAGCCCTTGAGAGCAGCTCCTAATCATCCAAACCCCAAGGTTGTGAAGTTGATGTCTGACACGTGTCAGAGACTTCAGCCCAAATAACTGCCCCATCTGGAATGACCCATTTGTACAAAAAAAAAAGTGATCTGGACATTTACTTTTAGGCTTCATTCTTTTAGTCCAAATACACAAAAAGCCAAAGTTACCCGTAAGTAATCTCATTTCTGCTTCTGTCTGCCATGAAGAAGTCCTTATCTTGCCAGTGTTTGTACAGGAAACGTTAGCAGAACCGATGTTTTCCCAGCAGTTGAGGACCATCTGTAATGCAACAAACTCATCACCTGCCAGATTTGTTCAGAACATCTCTTASTCCATATGTCTTCTGCATCCACAATAAAGAAAAGATATAGGAGCAATTTTTCCTCCCTGTGACCTTTCAAACAGTTTGGCATTTAGCCTTGGTGCTGATACGTGAATTCTGCAGATTAATATCTGCCTTTCATTCTGCTGACCCATTTTAGTTGCAGAGGGTATATTTATTTCTCACCAGTTTTGAAGGACTGTACTTTTTTTAGACATTTCACAAGGAATCCATCATCTGCAAATAATTAAAATTAAACACTAGAAATGACATTGTATTGCTAATGAGCAGATGTGTCTACTTATACCAGTGGAAGAACAGCTGTACACATAAAAAATGCTACAGCGACCCTAAACCAGCATTATGTATTCTGCTACAGGCCTGTAACTTCATTTAGAGATTAAAGAACAGGAAAAAGTAATCTCTCATGTAAAATATARCCATTTTTTGATATTTTTTTACATTCCTCTGAGTCTGTTCCCTTTGAATTTTGTACAGAAGTTGCAAGACTC